TATTATTTTCCTGATTAAAGAAAAAATGCCCATTGCATTTTCCCAAAGCCCAAGTTGACATATTCCAGTTGCTTGTTCTGTCCCAAACCCAAAAGTTTTCAGTTTAATATAATAGAAAATGAATACAAGCAGCAAACAAAACATTAAAAATGGAGAGCCCTTACCGCTTGTGGCCAGTTTTAGAAGCATTTTTGCTTAAAAAATGTTTATCAAAAATGTGCTGATGAATTTTCTGTTGACCAACCAACTAATTGTTTCAGTTCCATTATTATTATCAGCTGTTTCAAATGTTTCAAAAGAGGGGCACTATTTCTGGGCAAAAGATTAATTGTATGAATAAAATGTGGATTCACATAAGAGCAGAGTTAAGTTTAGTTACAAAAAAGCAATATGCTTTAGAAAACAAAATTTGTTGTAAGATATTCCTGTTAAATTCTGTTAATATACGTGGAGCCAGAGTGTGTTTAGAAAACTTTATCTCTTAGTGTCATGGATGTTTGTTCGAACTTTTGCTGTGATGCTGGAAGAGTTTACTGGTCCGATAGCGCAGTCTTTCTGAATTGTCCTGACTGAAGGTATCACAGTGGAAGGCAAGGGCGTCCGTCCATCCATCGCTGCCTGCCTTGGGGTTGAATTTCCTCTTGGGCATTCCAGCAAAGAGGCTGAGGTCTCTGGGGAAACGCTGCTCTGTCCTGACAGGCTTGGCCTCCAGCAATGACTGATGCACAATAGCCGTACACAGCACCGAGGCAAAGTCTCCGAGAGCATCACCGCCACCACCGACAATTCCTCCTTTTCTGTCTCTGTCTCCCTGTCCCGCTCTCTGCCTCTCTCTCAGGCTGACATGTAAGACGTTTTGCCAAGAAGCTGTCAGTCTGTTTGCACTGTGTTCAGAATGATATGAGCGTCTGATTGCTCAATTCAGCCCCGTTCAGGCAAAGTGTTTACTTCTTCATATACGTGATTACTACGAGATCCTCTTTTTGCCCTCAACCATATGAAGACGGTTTTCATTTTATGTTGTGTCTAAAGAAAAAGCAGGGGCCCACATACTGCCGAACATCTCAAGGGCAAAAAGAAGCAGAAAATCTTTTTGTGGTATTTATAAATCCATGCTGTACCTCAAAACAGGGCAAAAGTTCACATTCTGCAAACACCAGCAGGCGAATATTAGAAGTACCAGAACTATTTAAGTACTTAAACGGTACAGTTGGAAAGTAGGACAACTTAATCCCATTGTCTTTAGCCATGTCTTTTTTATCAGATTGAAGTGTGATCTCTGTTCAGATTGTGATGAAACTGAGGGGAATGGTGCCTCTTCACACTGTTGAAAGATGTTGTTTTTGGCCTCATAAAGGGCTGAAAGGTTTGGTGATTGACCAAGTAATGTCCTACAGAAAATCAGATTGATTCAAAATGAGCTACACAAACACAAATATACAAATAAGCTGTCTAGTCCTTGAAAAGTACATACATTTTCCCAGTTTTTGCGTTCTGTCTTTCCAATTTGTTCACATCGAGCACTTGATGTGTGCGGTTCCTTTTACAAGCTCACTAATCAACCAGTTGACATGATACCTCATGTTGAAGTGGATATGATTAATATTTCTATATGAACAACGAATCACATGACTAATTGTAAGAAAAACAGATCACTTAACCCACAGAGAATTATCACCTGACTCTACATACAGTCCCCCTCAGCTCTACAGAGTTTTGTAGTGACTTTCAGCTCGTTGTTTTGGTTTCTGGCCCACAACTATATTGTTTTAATTCAGTCTTGCTGCTTTTATCTGTCTTGTTTTCGACTGTAACACACAGATGTTTTCAGTGAAAAAGCTCAGATAAACCCACTGCAGACTTATGCTACCTGTTCGGGCAGACACAGTTTACGACTAGCTACATGTTTGTGCCACATGTGCCAGATATTTTCCTCTGGAGTTGGTGGAGACCAAACAGAGCTAAAAGAGGGTAAATAATGGACTGAGATTTGTCAGGTGGGCACAAATGAGGCTCGAAATAAATGACAGTGTTGACGGTTTAAGGCCTTGACAATAACTAACCTACGAGTCAAGGTTATGATGAAACTTGAACTGTTCCCTATCACAGGGAACCTTGCGTCCTTCATAGGAGAAAACATGAGCTAAACCAACACATGGGGAATTTAATCTTCATGTAAAAATATGTGTCCAGCATAGAAAATCTCCTTTGTAAACACAGCAGTATTAGTACAACATCAAGTTTAGCGGAGTAGATACAAATAGAAACACCCTGGAGGGGCAATTGGTTTTGTCCACATACATGACTCATACGCTTCCTATAAGTGGTACACAAAAGAAAGAACATATTCTCATGGTAAAAAAAAGGAATTCAGTTTCATGGTGTTTATATAGAGGGTGTGTGCACGACTGGGAGAAGGAAAGCCCAGACCTCTTTGCGGAGCTGAAAGTTTACGTCTGAACACATATAAAGCAGTTGTTCAAACCCAAGAGCCCAGCGGCTTGTAAATTAAATCGATCACTTGGAGTGACGAAATGTTTTGCAATACCTTGAAATGCATACCAGTCATTTTTAGGCGGTGAGCCTGTGGGTCCTGCCTCATGCTCTGTGGTGGTGGTCCAGGGTGACAGGGGGCATCGCCTGTTTAGTATGTAGGTCAGTCATGCTGAAGATTCACGGCTTCCAAAATTACAGAGAATGAGACAGCTTGGGACCCAAAACTTTAAAGTCCAACAGCTGGGAGACATTAAGAACAAGATCCCCCCCAGTGGCCGTAATGAACGTTAATGAACGGACCTGAAAGGACAGATGTAGGCAGATGAAAAGCAAAGAGGAGGACATGAAGGCAAGTGGAAGAGGTTTTGAGGCTTTGTTTGGTGAGAGGCTTTGAGATAAAACGCTGCAAAAGGAAAATGTGTTTTGGTGTGAGTAGGTCAAGAGGCACTCTAAATCCCAAACAGCCTGTCCCAGTAACTGAAGGCCTCCAGCGTATAGCCTAGATCCTCAGCTACACACAGCTCCAGCCTGAAGCCCTTGACAGATTGTTAACTGTCCCACGCCTGCAAGGGGTGAGAGTTCAACACTGTGAGACCCACAGATCACTGGGACACAACATGGCTATAAATAATAAAATGGCTGAAAATGTGCGAGAATCCGAGAACCACAAGCGGTAAGGGCTCTCCATTTTTAAGTGTTTATTACATTGTCGAAGTCGAATAAGAGCAGGTATGTATGTTAGTTCTACAGTTTTTTCACCCTGTTGTGGTAAGACTCACGTTAACGTTACAACGTTAACGTTAAAACAGTTTGCACTGTCAGACGTCACAGTCTGTCTGATTTGTGCCGTAAAGCAATGATTCCCAATCCCGGGCTGTGGACTGGTACCGGGACTTAGAACATTGCCATTAATACTAATTTCATAATAAATAAGACCATGTTCTTGGCATGGTCTCTGTTTGTTCCATCTTTCTTTATCACTCCCACAACAACAGGATACCCATTTTCAGCTATAAATTAATCTGTTAAATTCATTAGTCCTCATCAACCACTTGGCTAATAGATCTGCATGTTCAGTGATTTTACTGCTGTTGCTACTAGCTAACATGAGTAAAAAGCAAAACTTTGAGAGTTTAAGAAAGCTTGAGGGTTTCTTTTGGAGTAGGTAGGGTAACTATGTCAGCACAAAACTGTCTGTGGGGCAAAAGCCGTTGCCGAACCCCTGCTGTTAAGCAATTCATTTTGGCTACGGTCCTACAAAGTCAGCAATTCTTGGCTGGATGTGTCATAATGGGCTGAAAAGTCCGGTGGTGTTGCCAGAATTTGGATGGATATTCAGAATCAGATTTTTTTTAAGAGGAAAAACATAGATGTTACAAATAAAGGTCATAGTCATTCCGGAGGGCACTACTCCGACTGTAAAAACAGTCTCCTGTGTTGCAAACAGGGGCCCCCCTCACTTTATGAAAGTACAAAACAAAATCGCTAGAGAATCTATTCAACTGTCTGAACATCAGAGAAGAACGAGAATGTGCAATTAAATAAACCAAATGTAAACTACAATGTCAACTTTCCACTGTGGTTTTTCTGTATACAAACTCCAGATTTAAATAGCACAGTGAATCCACATGTATCTCTCGGTCAATCTAAATACTGCAGGTCTGATGGTTTGGGAGATAACTCTTCCAGTTCCAGTGCAGGTTCAGACTGCAAAACAAGTACATCAGTGCTGGATGATTCCAGTATTTTTCATGTGATCATCAGATGTCTCTTTAACTTTATAGCAGTGCTAGCTGATGTGTATCTTTGATGACATTATATTACATTGCACAAGTGCAATCAACTATGTGGATACAACCCAAAAAGTACATTCATACATTCATCAGCTTCATCAAGTGCTACATTTAGAAACAATAAAAGATAGAGATAGAGAGAGATAGAGAAAGAGGTTTTTTATGTATATAACAGTAACAGAAATGTAGCCACCAGGGTTTAGTTTCACCTTGACCACACACACACACACACCAGAACATCACAAGTAAAACAAAGAACAATCACACACACAGGGATCATCAGTGAGTTCTCTTTATTAAAAGCACTGTATTTCACTTGTTGCCAAGAGATTCTGTTTACTTGAAGCCCCACAAGGTCAGATTCTGTAATGATGGAAAATATGAGTCATTATTTTGCCCGCTCACAAGGTATTTTGGAAGGTCTCTTGAAATTTCAGCTCTCCTTCAATCAAATAAACAAAGGATATTTTAAGGTTGTTTTGACTGTTAGGAGTCGGTACTGTTGTTGCAGGGGAGGAACCCACATGTTGAAGTACACATATGTCCTAAAGATAAACAAATCAAACCTTGCAATATAGTAATTTATACAAAATTAATCTCCACAATTGTAGACATATATGCAGATTATTCATTAAATAAAAGGCTAGAACTGTATATAAGAAGCATACTTTTTGTCAGTTCCTTGACAGTTTGTCTTCCGTTTCTTTGCAGGGCGAAGTATTTTCGAGGGAAGAAGCTGAACGGAGAATATGAGATCCGGGTGGAACAGGTATTGTGGATTTAACATAAATTCTGTGTAGTTAGGTACTTTATTGATTCTTTCAAAACTGCAAAATTGTATACTTATTATTCAGTCAGCATTTAATTAAATAATTTTGAGGATGACCTTCAGTTTGTAGGTAATGCGAAGGGTACTTGATGCTGAATTTGGCTAAAGTTAATTATTTTTCGATAATTCGACACCCTAGAGTGCATTATCACTCTTATCCCAATAAGAGATTTCGAATGCCAATCCTTTTGCAATATTCACTGTCTGGGATGCGTCTCCGCATGAAACTAGCACACACAATTTTAATTATGGCCACCTTGATCTTTTATATATAATCTACTTCAATTCAAAACTATTTCAAAATATTTCCCAAAAAAACATTTTGGGAAATATGCTTACTAACTTTCTTGCCAAGAGTTTCTTGCCAGACTCTCATGTCTGTATATTAAGTATGGAGCTAATAGCCAGGAGGTGATACGTTTATCTCAAAGGCTGGAAACAGGTGGAAACAGCTAGCATAGCTTTTGTTTTTTTAATCTGTACGAAAAGATGGGAAAACAATAATTTGTAGTTTTACGGGAAGTACTTCTTGCTATATATTAAAAATTTCTTGTTAGCCGTTTCCCCCTGTTTCTAGTCTTAATGCTAAGCTAGGCTCTGGCTCCAAAGTTTACAGACATGCATCAATCTTCTCATGTAACTCTCGGCAAGAAAGCCAAGAAGCACATTTGCCCAAAAGTTATTCCATTGAACCATCTTGATTTAAATTCAACACGGTTGTGCCGATGTTATTTTACAGTAAGCAGAGAAATATGTGTTAAAGTCTAGACGTACAGTATTTACAGTGTGTAGATAACATCTAATTTACCTCAAATAATTCAGTTATACATCTGCAAGCCATTGTTGAGACTGGAACTGTCTTTGAAATGGAGTGGTGGGCTTTTATGAGAGAAGGAAAAAGCGACCACAAAAAGCTGGACTGGTGATTTTATAGCCTGTTTGCTCCACTCTCTACTGTTGTGGTCACATCCCCTTTCTAGGACAGGCGGGGTTGGAATATGTGTCAAGATTTTTCTATGAAATGTAAACTTATATGGATTTTAAAAAATATATTGTGGTGTCGCAGATATTGAACCCCAATAAAAATGTGGCTGCGTTAATTAGGCCCGTTAAGTTCATAGTGAGGGGGACCATACAAGCCCCCNNNCCCCCCCCCCCTCCCAAAAAAGCTCAGCTATAGCTCCAAATGACCTAGTTAGATCTTGTTGGACCCTCCACTCTTTACCAGAAGCCCCCTGTGTTGACGATAACAAGTCAGTTGCTAATTGCCTTCAGCAGCCAGACTCTTCATAGGCTGTTAGTGCTCCTCGCTGAGAGCCTTAGGACGATGGAAACCCAATCTCTGTGTGAAAAGTTAGCGACACGCTGAGATGAACCCTTTTAGGGGATGACAATAAAAGCAGAAAGAGACCTGCTGCGCTTTCTCCCTCTCTCGTCAATCCCATTTCCTCGTTGGCTTTTAACATCTCTACACAGCAAACATTTTGACACTGAATACATTTTTTTTCAGTGGCCTGCATCAACACTAAAACATGGCACCAACATTAAGGTTAAAGCATTCTTAGTTGTTCAAAGCTGCTACCTAAATCATATACATTTTACATTTACCTGTAGTAAATACCTTTCTAATTTGAGTTCAAAACAGCTCTAAAAGCATTTTTTTTTATATTATATATTTTAAAATGATAATTTTGATCTTATTTAGATGAACATTGACCTTACACAGCATTTTATAGCTGCTATCTATCATGTTTATGCTGTTAAAGCCCTCTGAACCAGCGCTTGCGAGCCCCATACTAACATAACTCTTTCTCTGGCTTACTTGCTGCCATATAAGGTACCATCTTTAGACTCCAGCACAGGCTTACAACAGCATGTGATGCTGCGGTGGGGAGGCCTGATGCCAGTATGTATGAAAGAGAAAGAGAGCGGCTCTGATTCTTCGATGTAATATCTGTCAGCAAGGCTGCCCCGCCACCTGTACCTTCCCCACAGCAGATCTGCGAGCCCATTGTTGCGGATCATTCCCTCTCATTTACATGACCCACTTTGTAGTTACATTTGGCAGACGCCTGACGTCCTGTGTCTACCGGGTAACGCCTTTTATCCGCTAAACAGATGCTCACAGGAGCGCCGGTGGTGGTTTCTTTGTGCTCCTAAGTGACTAATAAAACCAGGCTTGGAGGCATTGCTTTTTTTGCAAAGTGATGAAATATGTTCAGTTGTAGTTCTTAAAGCTTTTGAGTGCCAAAAACATGCCAAGTGATCCTCACAGTCAGATTAGTATAACAGCATCATTTTTTAATTTATTATTCAAAATAAAAAACACAGCCAGTAAAGAGTGTATCGCTGACATGTCACTTCTGAAACAAATACAAAAAGGTCTCTCTAACATGACTACAGATGGGAGTTGTATATTAACTTCTTTCCCTCTCACTCTCAGTTAATCCCTTGTGGTTTAAAGGAGGAGTTGATGTGCAGTTACATCAGGCCAGTGCTCATATATCATGAGCCTGTGACTCACTTAAATCATGAGACCCAGAAAAACAATAATAATAAAAAAATGTAAAAATGAAAATACTGTCATACAGTTTTCTCTCTGGTATGCAGCTCTTTTTTTTTTTTTTTTACTATAATGTCCCAGTAAAAGTTCAAACAGTCAAAGTCTACAGTCATGCTAGCAGCTTTAGGTGCTTTGAGCTAAATGCTACTGTTAGCATGCCCACAATAACAGTTAATGCTAATATTAAATTAAGTTATCTTTACCATGCTTGTCATCAAAGTTAAGCCATGATAACTTTAGCACCATAGACAGTAGAATTAAAGGCCGCCAGTGACCGCACCTGTCACTCAAAGTGACCATAGCCCTAAATATGCATAACTTTATGCCTTAATATAATTTAACTGGGTGAGTAATATAAAAATTCTCCCCCCATACAGTTGACATAAACGGGGATATTAGCTAAAGAGACCAAAACGTGTTTTATATTAGCCTGTAAACATGTTTATTTCTGTTGTAAAGCATTTTAATATGGGGGCTCATAGGGATTGACTCTGCCTTTTGTGGAACTTGAATTTGAAAAACCTCCAGTGCTTTTGAGCTTCCTGTTGCATATTTATTGTGTCCAGTACACAATACTGTCGATTACTTTGAGACTGCTTTGAGGTTTTATGATGCACTTTATTGTTTAAGTATTCTTATAAAAGTATAACTTCTCATTTATGAGAGGGAAATTGTGTTTCTCCTTTCAAAGGTTTCACAGTCTCACTTTAAAGGTTTACCCCAGTTTCTGATTCACTTGTGTGTTATTTTTTTTATAGATTTCCTCAGGGGGTTTTATTTCACAGTAGGTGGCTGAAAATATTTAGGAACACAGACTTAACCACTGATTTTATATCTGGACACATATGTTCCCCACTTTACACATGGACCCAGAGATTTGGTTTGTTCATTCAGAATAGTGACACATTCCAGAGATCTTTGGAGTTTAGGGGATTAGGTATCGCCTGTAATGCCTTTTGTATGTATTTGCAGTATCTGTGATGTGTGTAGAGTGGTGGCAGTGCCAAGCCGAGGGCCTCTTGAGCTGACATCTTGTGCACTGAAAGTCGTCACCCTACTTGGCACTTGGAGAATTGTGACAGTCCATTTTGAAAAATGCCTGAATGAATGTTCACCTGCTCCAATCTCCCAACAAAAGGCTGCCAGACGAACTGCCAGTTTGCTACCCACAAGCCCCGCAAAGTCATAAACACTGCAATTTACACAATTGGACACATTAGGCAGTTAAATTTGAAGGGGTCTGTTGTTTGTGAAAGAACAAGGGGAGGTTCTTCTGGGTTGCTGGACCATGTGTGGTTTGGGTCGGGCAGGGCAACATCTGTTCCGCAGGCACATGACCTCAGCGCTGTCCACGCTCCTTTCTGCTGCAGTCATGGCAGCTCACAGGCAGTTGGCTGTATGTTATCCGTACCCTTTTTTGGCTGGTATTTGCACATGACATAGGGCATCTGGGTCGAACTTGCTCAAGACGGGTGATTTGGTTTGGTACTAGCTGCCGACATCTGACTGACCCAGCTGCCCTCATGCCTTCTGTTGCCCTGTGGCATTTAGCATCTGTCTTGGATTTCAACATTTAGTGCCTCAATGGATTATTTCACTGTTGTACAAGGTGGTAGTGATTAGCGGCAAATACTTCTCTGTGGTGCACATGAATGGTCCACTGTACTTCAGACCTCTCAATTGCATCAGTATGCGTTTCAACCGAGCTTATCAAGAGTTTCTGAAAATTCAGAGGTGGTCAACAAAAAGGTCTGCCCTGCGACTACAAATCAAATCACTACAGCCTGTTCTCTCCTCACATTTGTACACAAAACTGAAAAGTAATACCTCATATAACTCTAACATGTCTACTTGCCAGACATTTTTTTATTCTCCAGTAAGCATGCGTTACAATCCAGGAGAAATTAAACAGCTACTTCTATGCATGAATTTTCATTCAAAGTTGTATTTCACCCAGGTCTTAGTTAACTAAAGAGGTGAACCACTAAAAGAAGCACTATGTGTCACATAGAAACATCTATTTTCAGATTAAAGGAAACCACACAATAAGAGGCTCCATCTGGGCTAGAACGATTTTATCAACAGGAGTTCCAGTTTGGTCACTCGGGACCAAAAATAAAAAAAGAACAACTATCACTGGAACAGGTCAGTGTTAAAAGGAGTATAATAGGGATTTGGATTTAGTAAGGTTAATTATGGCTTAGATCCGCAGTAAGAACATCTATTTTCTTATTTTATCATCATTGGCTCATTGTAATATAATTATGTAATTTAATAAAATGATATAAATACAAATAAAAATATAAAGTAATTCTAATAATAATGTAATACACTACACTCTACAATTGATTTGTATATGTATACAATCACCATGGTA